CACTCCCCATATGATATATATATATATGACACTAGGATCTCCCACTCCCCATATGAGATATATATATATGATACTAGGATCTCCCACTCCCCATATGATATATATATATATGACACTAGGATCTCCCACTCCCCATATGAGATATATATATATGACACTAGGATCTTCCACTCCCCATATGAGATATATATATATGATACTAGGATCTCCCACTCCCCATATGAGATATATATATATATGATACTAGGATCTTCCACTCCCCATATGAGATATATATATATATGACATTAGGATCTCCCACTCTTCATATGATATATATATATATATGACACTAGGATCTCCCACCCCCCATAAGATATATATATATATATATGACACTAGGATCTCTCACTCCCCATATGATATATATATATATGATACTCCCTGTATGATATATATATATATATGATACTAGGATCTCCCATTCCCCATATGATATATATATATATGACACTAGGATCTTCCACTCCCCATATGATATATATATATATATGATACTAGGATCTCCCACTCCCCAAATGATATAAATATATATATGATACTAGGATCTCCCACTCCCCATATGATATAAATATATATGACACTAGGATCTTCCACTCCCCATATGATATATATATATATATGATACTAGGATCTCCCACTCCCCATATGATATATATATATATATGATACTAGGATCTCCCATTCCCCATATGATATATATATATATGACACTAGGATCTTCCACTCCCCATATGATATATATATATATGACACTAGGATCTCCCACTCCCCATATGATATATATATATATGACACTAGGATCTCCCACTCCCCATATGATATATATATATATGACACTAGGATCTCCCACTCCCCATATGATATATATATATATGACACTAGGATCTCCCACTCCCCATATGATATATATATATATGACACTAGGATCTCCCACTCCCCATATGATATATATATATATGACACTAGGATCTCCCACTCCCCATATGATATATATATATATGACACTAGGATCTCCCACTCCCCATATGATATATATATATATGACACTAGGATCTCCCACTCCCCATATGATATATATATATATGACACTAGGATCTCCCACTCCCCATATGATATATATATATATGACACTAGGATCTCCCACTCCCCATATGATATATATATATATGACACTAGGATCTCCCACTCCCCATATGATATATATATATATGACACTAGGATCTCCCACTCCCCATATGATATATATATATATGACACTAGGATCTCCCACTCCCCATATGATATATATATATATGACACTAGGATCTCCCACTCCCCATATGATATATATATATATGACACTAGGATCTCCCACTCCCCATATGATATATATATATATGACACTAGGATCTCCCACTCCCCATATGATATATATATATATGACACTAGGATCTCCCACTCCCCATATGATATATATATATATGACACTAGGATCTCCCACTCCCCATATGATATATATATATATGACACTAGGATCTCCCACTCCCCATATGATATATATATATATGACACTAGGATCTCCCACTCCCCATATGATATATATATATATGACACTAGGATCTCCCACTCCCCATATGATATATATATATATGACACTAGGATCTCCCACTCCCCATATGATATATATATATATGACACTAGGATCTCCCACTCCCCATATGATATATATATATATGACACTAGGATCTCCCACTCCCCATATGATATATATATATATGACACTAGGATCTCCCACTCCCCATATGATATATATATATATGACACTAGGATCTCCCACTCCCCATATGATATATATATATATGACACTAGGATCTCCCACTCCCCATATGATATATATATATATGACACTAGGATCTCCCACTCCCCATATGATATATATATATATGACACTAGGATCTCCCACTCCCCATATGATATATATATATATGACACTAGGATCTCCCACTCCCCATATGATATATATATATATGACACTAGGATCTCCCACTCCCCATATGATATATATATATATGACACTAGGATCTCCCACTCCCCATATGATATATATATATATGATACTAGGATCTCCCACTCCCCATATGATATATATATATATATATATATATTATTACTTGTCTACTATACTGTGAACAAAAGATCATTTATTTATGATACTAGGATCTCCCACACCCCATATGATATATATATATGTGATACTAGGATCTCCCATTCCCCATATGATAGATACATATATGACACTAGGATATCCCTATATCCTAGTGTAAAATATCCTACACTATATCCTAATATTAAATATATCCAAGTGTCATAAATATATCTATCATATGGGGAGTGGGAGATCCTAGTGTCATATATATATCTGGAACAAGATCAATCCGCCTGAAGAAGCCCTAGAAGGCAGAAAGGCCGAGCGGAGGATCTAAAAAATTTGTTTTTATTCTATATATATATATATATATATGATACTAGGATCTCCAACTCCCCATATGATATATATATATATATGATACTAGGATCTCCCACTCACCATATGATATATATATATATATGAGACTAGGATCTCCCACTCCCCGTATGATATATATATATATATATGACACTAGGATCTCCCACTCCCCATATGATATATATATATATGACACTAGGATCTCCCACTCCCCATATGATATATATATATATGACACTAGGATCTATTTTAATGAAAATCAATGCAACGGATACACAGCCATTTTCAGATTTATCATGACAAAATTAAAACTTTGCTGTTTATCTTTTATAAATAATTCCTTATCATCGTGTGTAACAGAGGTCCACCAGTGTAAGACTTTGTGTCGTAAGGGAGATAATCCCGTTTATCATTTAGATAACGGTACTAAATGTGTTTGGTTTGTTTGTGTTTTACATCCTATTAACAGCTAAGGTCATTCTAAATGTGTTCACAGACAAGAAGACAAGTAATAACTATTTTTTTATAAGTCTAAACAATGGCAAAATAGGTCACTATACAGCACTCACCTCCTCGAGGCGTCGGGTCTGACAAGGGTAGCCCACGTCTACCATCAACTCCGCTATCCTGTCCTTGGCAGTCCCTCCATCCTCTATGAGGTTATCCAATACGGCACTCTCTACACAAACAATACATGTCCTAGTACACACCTTCTACACACAAAACATAGTCACTGAATGAGCTGACCTAATCATCTATTTAGTTCCTCCCCATGTCATTTACTTACAAAGTGAAGCTTAAGAAATAACTTTGTTTATACTTCAGGCCAAAATTTTCATATTTGTTTTACTATGGTTTTGTCATCATGAATATTTCCCAGCAGATTTTAAGATTTCCTTAAGAAAGTTACCATCTATAAAGATGATCCCAGGTTTGAAGCGTAATTTCTTGTGTGCCCTTTCACTTAATCCCTGTAAAATAAAAAACGAATCATGAAAAAATCTTGAAGTAATGAATAACACTTCATCAATAAAAAATCCTCTATTTGAAGGTGAATATATTGATCAGGATTTATGATGATACATTCCAAATTCTTCATGTTACACATGAAGGAAACTAAATTACAAGTTGGAATGACAAAAGAAATGGAACCTTACCTCTGTGATGAGGTGAAGCAGACAGCTAGATGAGGGACCCCCAGAATAGGCCACCAGGACCTTTTCTCCGTCACGCACAAGCTTAGACTTCCCAATGGTGGCTCTGAACTTATGTGTCACATACACCATAAAGCAGGCCCTGGAAACATCACAGAAAATTCACGTCACATGTTCCCGTATTTTTTCACATCGTGTTTCAAATAACCATATCAATAAGCATGTCTGAATATTATTAAAATAGTACTGCACATGGAGCTAAAATTATTTTCTTTCTCATTGGTTGTACAAAAAAATGTCAATTCTTTTTTTGATGGCAACAAACGTAACACCTAGCAGATCCTAGATTGTTTTCAAAGCTCAAAATATGAAGTGTTTTTGGCTTGCTAAAATTAGCTGATTTATTTCAAAGAAGTCTTAAATGGAATTCATAAAAGCAGTTGACAACTGCTTTTATGAATTCCATTTATTTCTTAAGAGTGTGATTTTTTTCCCTTACAGATAAAATTACAATGATTAAACTATAATGCATCCTAATCTGCTTCAAATACTATAGCGATTATTCTTGTCTACAAAATATCTTGTATTTTCTAGTTAAGAGTATCATTAATTACTGTGATAGGTATCCAGCAATCTAATTAAACTTTCTTTTAAACCTTTAACCACTAATTTACTGGAATATCAAATTATGAAATAATAAGTTCTATATGAAGTGTAGATATGATTCTATAGAATGCTTGATAACTGCGAAAGCTGTGTCAGCAGCCAGACTTTTAGTTAGGGTGAACAGTTAAATTGACAATTGTGCAACTGGAAAACCTGTCTACACGGAAAACTTTAAAACCTGTCTACACGGAAAACTTTATTGAAGCTGATATTCAGCTCAGACAAGTTTCTATTGGACAAAACAAGGACTGTGGCTCCTATATATAGCCAAAGAGCTTTTACTTACTTGCAAAAGGCGTCATTCACTCTAATGATCAAGATAGCATTTTCTGTGCGACACTTCATGCATTTTCTTCCTGGGCTGAAATTAAGTAAGCAAACACATTATGTGAAAATAAATTTTAAAAACGTCACAAAAACTGATTTTCTTTGCGTACATTAAGAATTAAACATCTTCAAATTTTTAGTCATAGTAAGGAACTTAAAGAGTATTTGAAGCATATTACAGTCTAGACCACAACTCAACAATACAACAGATCTGATGAGGTGAAACTATTTTAATAATAAAAACTATCTGATCAAAAAATGTATTTAAACAGGACTCAATAAAATGTTTATAAAAATACCTGTAAAATTGCAGATTAAAAGAGCAATTGATAAAATTCTCTGAAGCAATGTTGATACAAAATGCATATAATAAATTCCTCCACTAGGGGTCTAACCCTAGACCCCTGGCTTACTAGTCTGACATTCTACCAATGGAGCAAAAGAAAAGTTCTCCCTAGCCGAGACTGTAAGAAGAGGCTAGTATTTTACTAGGGTGGCATACTCCCCTGCAAGAAAGAACTTGTCATTCACATTTCCAGGGCTAACAGAGATGCTTGTGATAGCAAGGCTGAGCATTTTGTCAATATTTCCCAGGTCTCTATGCGGTAAAGGAATTTATTTGTTCAATGCTTCCGCTAGGGGTCGAACCCAGGACCTCTGGTTTATTAATCTGATGCTCTACCAATTGAAGTTCTGTTCTAGCTAGTTGAGTAAGTAGGAAGCAGTTAGTATTTTTCAGGATGACATTACAGTGAGATTTATTGATAAAGGTAGTTTTACTCAAATCTAATTACTTAAGTGGCTTGTCGATTCTTCTCAAAAAATGACCATGTTTATATATAATATGGCAACTGGTCAGAGACCTACCTACAGCATATAGTCATTTTTAGGAGTTTTTTTAAAACAAGTTTTTTCCAGTGTCTTTTATCACAAACAAACAAAACGATTACCTGACAGCTGCTTCTCTATTTTTAGATATTGCCCATATAATACCTGTATCTATTGTAGTGAAACAAGAAAGAGAATAGCGTGCTTCCACCGGGGATCAAACCCTCGATCTCCAGGTTCCTAGTTGGACGCTCTACCACTGGGCTAAAGGGAAATTCCCACTAGTTTGAAGCTAGGGGCAACCATAATCCTATGTACAATTAAAATCTGCCACAGTAGTATTCAGTAGGCCCACTCTGAAGCACTGCAGGCAGACAGTGTGTTGGAATGCGATATTAGTCTTGACTTCCGACAGAGCTCAGTCATAGATTTTATTCATTTTAGTGTTGGGAATCGGTTGAGATTTCAACATCGATGATCGGATATAATCGGTTAGTGTCAACCGATTGATTTTCGTTCATTAATCGGTTAGCTTACCGTTACATTATCCTTAAAAAAATATTACTTTTTTCTTTAACAATGGCATGGCTTTTCCTTTTAGTAATGCTACTAATGAAATTTCAACTTTTCCACATAGCTTCGTATCTTTATTTTGTATCATACCATTTCAATGTAACAATCTTTATTGATGAACAGTTATAATCATTGATATTTTTTGCAATTAATTATGTTTAAATAGCATGATTGGTAAGAAGTTATAGTCAGGTCCAGTACACTCTGTCGATTGAGCTATATAGCTGTAAAGACCTATAATAGCTTTATTGACCTATCTGAAATAGGTCTTTTGAGCTATTTTCAAGTGATTTTCTTTTTTAAGGAAAACGAAACAAAGTCGCTTTTAAAAGAAGATTGTATCATTAAGTTGATAACAAAAGACATTAAATATAAGTATTCTTTTTAAAAAATAATGATGTAAAAAAATCGGAAATTTTACATTTATGAAAAATGAAAATAAACATCTAACTGTATGCTTTTTGTAGTCAACATTACCATAAACCTTATTGTTTTATGCGACTTTGCTTTAATTTAATGAAAATTGAAATCTGAGAAAATATAGCTCAATAAAGATATAATGTATAGGTGTATATAGCTACATGTATATAGGTCTTTATAGCTACATTTGTATATAGCTCAATCGGCAGAGTGTACTGGACCTGATAGTTAAGAGTAAAATGACATAGAACACCCGATCTCTCTAATTGAAAATGAAAGTAGAACTCGCACTTCCGGTTTTGAAAACAATCATTGATGTTGTCATCGCATAATCGATTGTCGGGAATGGATTGCCTTTCCAATTAGATATCGATTATAATAGATCATCGGGACAACACTAATAGATTTAATATAACACTTTCCTCTAGTCTGTTCCGGTCGACTATTTGTAGCAGCCAAAGAATAAGAGGGGGAAATACTGCCTTACTGGCAAGCTAGCTTTTCCAGTGATGGGGCTCAATAGTTAGCAAACTTAGATGTCGGACATCTACATGTATCTGTCAAAATGTCTAAGTCTGGTTTCAGGGACAGAGAAAACTCAGGCAATGGAGTACATGACCAATAATAATTCTGAATTGCGACAGGCTGTTTTCCTTTTTTGGGGGATAATGAATGATGATAATCACTTATCTAAAAAAAAAATGGGGAGGGGGGGGGGGTTAAAATNAATTGATAAAATTCTCTGAAGCAATGTTGATACAAAATGCATATAATAAATTCCTCCACTAGGGGTCTAACCCTAGACCCCTGGCTTACTAGTCTGACATTCTACCAATGGAGCAAAAGAAAAGTTCTCCCTAGCCGAGACTGTAAGAAGAGGCTAGTATTTTACTAGGGTGGCATACTCCCCTGCAAGAAAGAACTTGTCATTCACATTTCCAGGGCTAACAGAGATGCTTGTGATAGCAAGGCTGAGCATTTTGTCAATATTTCCCAGGTCTCTATGCGGTAAAGGAATTTATTTGTTCAATGCTTCCGCTAGGGGTCGAACCCAGGACCTCTGGTTTATTAATCTGATGCTCTACCAATTGAAGTTCTGTTCTAGCTAGTTGAGTAAGTAGGAAGCAGTTAGTATTTTTCAGGATGACATTACAGTGAGATTTATTGATAAAGGTAGTTTTACTCAAATCTAATTACTTAAGTGGCTTGTCGATTCTTCTCAAAAAATGACCATGTTTATATATAATATGGCAACTGGTCAGAGACCTACCTACAGCATATAGTCATTTTTAGGAGTTTTTTTAAAACAAGTTTTTTCCAGTGTCTTTTATCACAAACAAACAAAACGATTACCTGACAGCTGCTTCTCTATTTTTAGATATTGCCCATATAATACCTGTATCTATTGTAGTGAAACAAGAAAGAGAATAGCGTGCTTCCACCGGGGATCAAACCCTCGATCTCCAGGTTCCTAGTTGGACGCTCTACCACTGGGCTAAAGGGAAATTCCCACTAGTTTGAAGCTAGGGGCAACCATAATCCTATGTACAATTAAAATCTGCCACAGTAGTATTCAGTAGGCCCACTCTGAAGCACTGCAGGCAGACAGTGTGTTGGAATGCGATATTAGTCTTGACTTCCGACAGAGCTCAGTCATAGATTTTATTCATTTTAGTGTTGGGAATCGGTTGAGATTTCAACATCGATGATCGGATATAATCGGTTAGTGTCAACCGATTGATTTTCGTTCATTAATCGGTTAGCTTACCGTTACATTATCCTTAAAAAAATATTACTTTTTTCTTTAACAATGGCATGGCTTTTCCTTTTAGTAATGCTACTAATGAAATTTCAACTTTTCCACATAGCTTCGTATCTTTATTTTGTATCATACCATTTCAATGTAACAATCTTTATTGATGAACAGTTATAATCATTGATATTTTTTGCAATTAATTATGTTTAAATAGCATGATTGGTAAGAAGTTATAGTCAGGTCCAGTACACTCTGTCGATTGAGCTATATAGCTGTAAAGACCTATAATAGCTTTATTGACCTATCTGAAATAGGTCTTTTGAGCTATTTTCAAGTGATTTTCTTTTTTAAGGAAAACGAAACAAAGTCGCTTTTAAAAGAAGATTGTATCATTAAGTTGATAACAAAAGACATTAAATATAAGTATTCTTTTTAAAAAATAATGATGTAAAAAAATCGGAAATTTTACATTTATGAAAAATGAAAATAAACATCTAACTGTATGCTTTTTGTAGTCAACATTACCATAAACCTTATTGTTTTATGCGACTTTGCTTTAATTTAATGAAAATTGAAATCTGAGAAAATATAGCTCAATAAAGATATAATGTATAGGTGTATATAGCTACATGTATATAGGTCTTTATAGCTACATTTGTATATAGCTCAATCGGCAGAGTGTACTGGACCTGATAGTTAAGAGTAAAATGACATAGAACACCCGATCTCTCTAATTGAAAATGAAAGTAGAACTCGCACTTCCGGTTTTGAAAACAATCATTGATGTTGTCATCGCATAATCGATTGTCGGGAATGGATTGCCTTTCCAATTAGATATCGATTATAATAGATCATCGGGACAACACTAATAGATTTAATATAACACTTTCCTCTAGTCTGTTCCGGTCGACTATTTGTAGCAGCCAAAGAATAAGAGGGGGAAATACTGCCTTACTGGCAAGCTAGCTTTTCCAGTGATGGGGCTCAATAGTTAGCAAACTTAGATGTCGGACATCTACATGTATCTGTCAAAATGTCTAAGTCTGGTTTCAGGGACAGAGAAAACTCAGGCAATGGAGTACATGACCAATAATAATTCTGAATTGCGACAGGCTGTTTTCCTTTTTTGGGGGATAATGAATGATGATAATCACTTATCTAAAAAAAAAATGGGGAGGGGGGGGGGGTTAAAATATTTTCTAAATAGTTTGCATCTTTTAACCTTTTAACTTTCCTTAATATCGTACGATGTGATCTCTTTCTAGCAGCGAGATTTCAATATAACTGAGCCATACTTTAAGGCTCACATATTAAAAGAAATATTCGCAAAATTGTACAAAACCCTTTACCCAATATTCCGTCAAAACTGGTGACGTTACATTACATTTGTGAACCAGACACCTATTTCAGAGTTGTGACAATGTGTTACCTGACTTTTTCTTTCTGTAATGGACCGTCCGATTCTCCCTCTTGTACACTACACATAATGTTCAAAACCTTAAGGAATGTCCTACAAGTTGATGGACTCAACGTGAACACATGTACACGCAACCTACATGCAATAATCACGTTTGTGTTAACCAGTACAGTTACAAACGTTTTGGTGATCATGATTTAATAACAGGCATAATGGGTCTGTGCTGCTCAGTTTTCAATTAGCCTGAAAACACTTGTTTGAACTAATCTGACATTTTTTTAATTCAATTTATGTTTTTAATCAATCTAATGAATCATTTTATCGGAAATGTGAAGTTATTTTTCATGATTTAAAACTAATTATTTTTTTGTGTTTTGTCATTGCTTTTTATCAACTGAAATTAAAAATATGACTGACATCATATTTTTTTTATTTCTATATATAATATATGGTGTAAATTTGCTAAAACCAAAAGTAATTCCAGGCATTTTGAACAAACAGAAATATTCTGCATTTTTTAAATTATATAGGATTTATCTCCCTTGAACCATATTCAAAACCATTATGCTATTTATCATGAAATTAGACTAACTTTGTGAAAATTATCTTAGTGTTTTGCAACAAAAATATCTAATCATGTATCTAAATATCTTCAAGTTAATTTGCTTAAGATGTGTCTTATAACAAAACAGCGCCCACTCCCAATCATCATGTGGAGAGACTGGAGCATCACATATCAGTATCTGGTGTAAAAGATGTGCATTGATTATGTTGCCTTGTGTAAACAGGCGTCAGCTGTAGGGAATTTCTCTTTAGCTCAGCTGTAGAGCATTGGGCTGGAGAGCCAATGGTCACGGGTTCGAGCCCCAGCGACGGCACTATCTTTATCACTATTGTTCGTCCTACTACAAACTGGTGGCGTTCTGTCAGACCCTCCCCGTTCAAGGTAGGAGAACCCTTGGCTGGGAGTCGAAAAACCTGGGTTGATGTTAAAAAGGGGGGGAATTGTGTAAGGGATGTGCATTGATTATGTTGCCTTACAAGCATCATCTGAAAATAATTTCGCTTTAGCTCAGTGGTAGAGCATTTGGCTGGATAGCCAATGTTCGGTGTTCGATCCCCAGCGACGGCACTATCTTTATCAATATTGCTCGTCCTACTACAAACTGGTGGCGATGACCCTCCCCATTCAATAAGATCTGATGAACCCTTGGAGGGGAGTCAAAGAACCTGGGTTGGTGTTTGAACAAGAGGCCCAGAGGGCCTGTATCGCTCACCTGGAAATGTTAGCAAAATTGAAGTTGAAATAGCTAGATTTTGCTGGAAGTGTACATGCATTACATGGTAAGTCAGGGGTTATACGTTATATTCAATTTGACAAAATCCTGTCATTCCTACAGGAAAAGGAGGATTTTGAAGAATTTGCTATGTTTCCCCTATTGGGCCCCTCCCCTCTGCCCCAAGGGGGGTCAGACCCACTGTTGATACAAAATAAGGTCCCCTTCACCAAAGGGTGCTTCATACCAAATTTGGACAAAATCCTGTCATTCCTACAGAAGAAGAAGGATTTTGAAGAATTTGCTATGTTTCCCCTAGTATTGGGCCCCGCCCCTCTGCCCCAAGGGGGGTCAGACCCACTGTTGATACAAAATAGGTCTCCTTCACCAAAGGTTGCTTCATACCAAATTTGGACAAAATCCTGTCATTCCTATAGAAGAGGGATTTTGAAGAATTTGCTGTTTTCCCTATTGGGTCCCGCCCCTCTGCCCTAAGGGGCTTGATCCACTGCCTACAGACCTATTAAAGCAATGTCTTGAAGCACTGCTTCCTTTGATTACCTCAATCATAAAACAAATCATTGGCCGAGTCAAAGGTTCCATTGTGTTTCAAGAAGGCACATGTTAGACCATTGTTTAAGAAGCCTGGAATGGACAAGGAGTTGAAGAACTACCGCCAAGTTTCAAATCTGCCTTTTCCGTCTAAGATCTTGGAGAAGGTTGTGTCCCGGTATTTCGAGGTGCATCTCCATGCAAACAGTCTCCATGACAACATGCATTCGGCCTACTGCATGGGACACTCTACTGAGACGGCCCTCCTACATATACATAATGACATAGCTTCTGCATTGCATAACAAATGCTGAGCTGTGCTCGTTATGCTGGACTTGTTAGCTGCATTTGACGTCATTGACCATGGCATACTTTATAAACGTCTGGAATACTCTTACGGAGTGACTGATATCGCACTATGCTGGATACAGTCTTATCTGAGTGAAAGACGACAGTGTGTTGCCATCAGATCAACCACCTCACATGACAAAGTACTAGATTTCGGGGTTCCTCAAGGGTCGGTGTTAGGACCACAAAAATATTGCCTGTACTCTTAACTGATTGGGGATATCATTGCTATGCTGATGACACACAAATTTACATGGTCATCAAACCACAGGACAGTTGGGATACAGTTTCAGAAAATCTGGAAGCTTGTCCGACAGATATCAGTACCTGGATGAACGCCAACATGCTAATACTTAATCAGGAAAAGACGGAACTAATCGTCTTTTCCCCACGTGTGATCAGCAAACAATGGCTCTCCAGCTCAAAGTCGGTGCCAGAACTATTGAGACTGTCCCAGCTGTTAAAAACATAGGTGTATACCTTGATAGTTCACTGAACATGGAGAAACAAGTGAACGCTATTGCCAAATCCTGTTACTACCAGATCAGGAACATCGGCTGTATTTGGCAGTTTATAACTGAAGATGCAACCGATTTTGGTGCATTCACTTGTTACCTCTCGGTTGGATTATGGTAACACCCTGCTCTGTGGTATATCTGACAAACTAACTAGTCGTCTGCAGAGGGTCCAGAACACTGCAGCCAGCTGGTTAATCGTACTCGAAAGAGAGAGCACATCACACCTGTGCTATATTCATTGCACTGGTTAGCTGCACGATACAGGTCACAGTACAAAATTTTGGTTTACACATACAAGGCACTGAATGGAATAGCTCCTCAGTACCTACAGGAGCTTGTTACCCTGTATCACCCCGACGATCACTGCGGTCGGATTCAGAATCATTGTTGTGTGTCACATAATCTTGTACTGTGACCTATGGAAAACAGTGCTTTGGGAGGGTTTCGGCGACGTTGTGGAATAGCTTACCATCTTCTATTAGAAAGTCAAATACCCTGGCCAAATTCAAGAGGAACATCAAAACCCACCTCTTCACGTCTGTATTTTAGGGTCTCTGAAAAGATGTCATGTAAATACCACCCTTTATTTGTTCAATTATGTGCACATTGCTTGCTTAAATGTATAAAAGTGACTGTATAAGCCTTTGTTTTTGTTTCACAATTACAACTATTACTATTATCCATATGTTGTAAAGCGCTTTAGAGTCATTTTACAAATTATATAGGGTGCTATATAAATGTTGTATATTATTATTATTGTATATTATTGTTGGGACTCCAAAAAAATGGCCACATCAAAATAGGTGCACATGTTCAGGGTGTGTTGGTTACATCAGTAGTTTCCTGCAAGTAGGCTTAAAACTGTAGAAGTTGTGGACACAGTGGTGTCTTCAGACAAAGGACAATCACTCCCTGTATACACCTCCTCCCTCTAACCATGTTGTGTAGGTTATCAAAATGAAATTGTTGAGAAACAGATGCACAGATGAGCTGACATTATACAGTTAGATAAGAGGATACCTTATACCCTGCTGAAAGGGATGTAAAATAAACAAGGAAACAATTCCATTGTCTTTGACTAATTTCATTTTTAATGAATCATTCCCTCACTGCCATACATTAATCACTGAGTAGATGGTTTACTCTGGTGCCCATGTAAATACGCTTATTTATCTTCACAAATTATTATTTTCTACATCACAAAATCTTCTTTATTTTCATGCATCATTCAAACAAAACAAGATCATTTGTACATGATATCTTGATAAATGTCCTTGAACTCTAATTCTGTTTTTGGACCACTGAAATTTCTCTTCCAAATCACCTAAAGTTTAATCTACGCACAAAAAACTACATTGAAGGGGAAAAAAATAACTTTGTTCTTACAAACTGAAAATCACTCTAGAAGTGTTTATGTATAAACCTCCTTAAATATGCACCAAACTTAATTTAAATATTTTAAGTATTTGGATACATGTATCCCCCCATATGTAATAACTAGTCACTGACTGAATAAATCAGATTGTTACCATAATATACTCTAGACTGATCACATTCACCCAAAGGAGCAAGTATATCAAGTTATATAGGTATACTTTCTAATAATACACAGTATCTTCATTATCAGTGAGATAAGTTTAGTGGTTGTTCTGCCTAACATAATATGGTTATCACTAACATTGGGAAACAATATACTATCTATCATCAATATTAGAATATATACAATGTATCTATGACCAAAATTCAAATACAATGTATCTATTTCCAAAATTCAAATACAATGTATCTATCGATATCACCAAAATTCAAATACAATGTATCTATGACCAAAATTCAAATACAATGTATCTATTTCCAAAATTCAAATACAATGTATCTATCGATATCACCAAAATTCAAATACAATGTATCTATGACCAAAATTCAAATACAATGTATCTATTTCCAAAATTCAAATACAATGTATCTATCGATATCACCAAAATTCAAATACAATGTATATGTATTTATTACCAAAATTCACATACAATGTATCTATTACCAAAATTCAAATACAATGTATCTAACACCAATATTATGATACAATGCATCATGTACATTCAGACACAATGAATCTTTAAACATTTGATTTGCAAGATGATTGTTTCCTTATAGCAGTTTTTGACTGCATTAAACTTGTAAGGAAAACAGGAGATATCTTATAACAGTCTATCTAAAAATAGCTCATCAAATTTGCAAAGCATTGACTAATTATTATGTTTGATAATATAGTAAAAACAATTCACAAATATTATCAAATCAAAACACAAAACCGTAAGTATACACACCTAGTAGTAATTGGTCTACAACAGGTTATTATTTTCATTAGATATTTTTCTCTGATAATTACCGCACTAGAACTATCGAAATTCAAGGCAACTTATCACAATGCTGTACATGTATATTGTACATAAATAGAATCATTTTTAATATCACACGACAATCTCTTAAAGACAAAAGTAGCATAAGCTATGTATGTAGTGCTATAGTTCATATCGCAGAAATTGTTTCAATTTCATTGGTAATGGTAGACATGTCACATCCTCCTCCTTTGTCAATTGGAGAATTCTGTCTCTGCATGCATTTTGGAGTGAAGACACTGCAAAGAGGAAGGAATTGGTTAGATTAATGCTGCTGAGAGTGTTGTTAATCTATCTAATTATAGTTATTAGCTTCAGTACCATCCACTGCCCAGCATACACATGTACAGTAGAAAATTACAATGTATCTCTATTTATTATGATGGTGAACAGTGAATCAAAGTTTTAAATAATAAATGATATTAAATTAATCATACTCATATTTAAATTTACATTTATACACTGTATTTTCAATATTAAATAGGTTAATGGGAGATTTTGTATACTCAAAATTGAAACATAAATAAAATGTGTATATATACCCGGCTTGAGACAAAATAACCCTTTAAAATTACATATTTTGAGTTGTTCCTTCAGATGACAACATATAAGATCTCAGAATATAGGAATAGTTCAGCAAATTTACTGAGGAATAACCTAAGTTTAATGGTCCAAATCACGAGTCTCCCTCCTAAATAGGGAGAATTGTCAAGTATGTATCAAGTATGTATGATGTAAATTATGACATGTGTGGTTCCGTATCAAATACTTACCACAATACAGCTGGATGATCCTCACTTGTTTTGTGGTACCGTAAACATCTACCACTGCATAGAGTGGCCCCCCCTGGTGGGGAATATTTCTAGCACAAGGTCCCTGATCTTCACCGTTAATGATAAACCTCATTTCCGCAGTGTCTCCCACCACACGGTACATGATCCCGATCCTGCTACCAATGTCTGTAGGAAGAGCACTGTCTGAGGAGGATGTACTGACAGAAGTTTCGTAATTATTTGATAACAGTTTACGTAGAGGGAGCAGTAGACTCCTACTGAATGAGCCCTGGGGTGTGTGTATCACCTCTGCATCCCCTAACACAGACTGGTGGATCTCCCTGTCCACACTGTCCGAGTCTCCAGCATCTGAGTACACTACTTTATTGTGTGACTTAGTCACTGCAAAAATCCAGGATTTCCCCATATTTTGAAGATCTGGTAATGCATATTGTGGAAGTTCAAACTTGCAACTTGGGTCAAATTGTGTGAGACCTATTCTCATATGTCCACTCCATCCCAACTCATTTTTTTCTATCTCGACAAGAAATATTTCTCCAGGCTTTAATGCCTTCTCACTAAAGGTCAGGGCATGTGCAAAACTGGTCTCTCTATAAGCCACCATGTTGTCATGGAGAAGACGGATGTTTTGTCCATGGTAAGGGTGGAATTTTGTCACTGGCATCTTGTTGTCATTGTCTGCACACAAAAAAGGACGATATATTATAAACATGTATTTGACAAAGTATCTCGAAGTTTTAATATATAGTACCTGATAAATTGGCAATATCAGAGATTATGTCAGTTTTATATCTGGAGACTTTCAATTGGCTATAGCAAACATTACATCACAACATCAACTCAACCAACCATTCATATTTGCACAAGAAATACACTAATAAATTCCAACGACAACACAGCAGAATCTTGCTAATTTATGATTTATTCAGGCATATGTGTTGACAGGTTTCGTGTTGTCGCTGCTGTTGGATTTCACCGATGAGCTATTACTACATGTATCCACAGCGGTAATCAACTAAATATTGCACCAGATTTTCAACTAATAAGGGATGTTGCGTCTCCAACCCAATGAATTGGGTAAAAGATTTATAGAATAACGACATTAATGGGGCCCTTTTAAAAGTCAACAGTGTCATTTTTTAGCTTTAAATAAATAATTGAGAAACGGTTGGGTCCTTTAGAAATTCTTCGCTGCAAAATGATGAATTAGGGTTAAGGGATCCGGAATGTTCAGAAAGTTAGGTAGGGTCAATTTCCCTACAGAGCCTTAATCCACCATGTTGGTACTTACCATCATTCAGAATGGCATTTCTTTTGTAATTGATCAGGTGATTATAATAATATAATTCTTTATTTGTTTATTGAGGATTACGAACAGCCCAAGGGCTACTAGTCGTTTTCTTCACATTTAAAAAACAAGCGAACAGTACAACATTTACCTTATTAACAAAATACAGGAAATGCATGAACATTTACACTGGTCATTCGCACCACTTCATGACACACACACATACACACACCAACACACAGACAAAGACACAGAGAACAATAAGAAGGAAGAAAGGCAGACAGACAGAGAGAGCTAGGGAGAGAGGGGAGGGAAAAGAGACAGACAGACAGACAGATAAAGAGTCTACTTGAATCTATTACTTCCCTCGATATATTTAAAGACAGAATGAAAAATTTGGGTATTGGTCTATTGGTCAAGAGAATTTGAGCCGTTAATAACTTATGTACAGAGCTGATCAGGTATTAAATTAAGCAGTGTCTGGATTTACGTTTGATGATATATTTCTAGATACAGTTTGAAAAAGGGTGATTGACAGATTGGAACTGCCTGGACGACAACACAGTCAGGGCGCAAGGAATAAAGGCATTTAAAGCATCAATCCCTACCAACTGGGATTAAACGAAGCTAACTATCGCATGCGTACTTAACCCCCTCCGCATTAAAGCCACATTGGTCTCTGTGGAGTATAATACATAGGTTACATTTGCGTATCCCGGTTGAAACGGTTCAGGTCGCACAGAAATATATATATTCCACAATAAACGAACACACTTGGTACCAAACTATAGGCAGAGCTAAAAATACAGAGTTTCGGAGAATGAATAACAATATCTCAATAATGATATATTCTTCTTTCACGCGTCGACTAAATTATATAACGTAACTTAGAATCTATATGTGGCTTGACCTTGTTTTATAAAGAAATAACGCAAATTTGTTATAGTCAGCATTTTAGTTTCGGTCAGTCACGTCTGGACCCCTCAATCTACACCTGCCGAATACACCCGAGGTCAGCCCGGTTCAGATTTGCACCTGTCATTTTTGTTCAGATTAAACCATTTCAACTGGTTGATCCAGATACGCGAAAGAGGGCCCGGGCCGTAGATTGATAGATCTAATACCTTAATAATGCCTACTGTCAGTACCACAGGAGTCTGAAGTGAATGCTTATATAAAATTATTAATAATAATTATAGTATTTTAAGCATATTTAAATTGGTTCTTATATACATATAACTAATATTATTAATTATTGACAGAATTTTATACTTCAGTGGTCAGTACATATACCAGGATATAGAATAGGCTCAAACAGTTGTAATGAACTTTAAGGTCTGTGGTATATTTTGTATAAACATGTTTATCATTATATACAAAGTTACCCGATAGTGTAACAAGATCCATACATTGGTCTGCGGACGGATGGACTTCTATTATATTTTGTGCACAACTATGGCATGCGCATGGTCCAATAACTCAAACTCCACCAAGATCCCAAAGCGCAAGAATAGCAAGCACACTCATGAAGCAACCGATCTTAAGCAATTTCCAACTTACCTATCGGTTGTATAAATAAATCTGCGTTGTATGTTTTTTAGCACCTCAACATATTTGATATTAAAAGATTATTGTCCCGCCAATAAAGATTTACAAAAAGATTGCTATCGGTGTAAATCCGCCATCCTGATATCCCTGAACAGTGCTTCCGTTTCCGTCCAAAACATATTTCTTACACGGTATATGATTGGATGATTTGTAGAGTAGAAGCCAATCAACAACTCGATTACATCACATGCAAGCTGCAGGCCGCGAAGATGGAAGAACGAAATGTGTGATGTTGGAACTGTGAAGCTTTATCTTTAGATTTTGAATTCATCTACACATTTCCGTTTATCATAAACATGTTTGTAACACGACATATTCCAGCGGAACACAAAGATCTCATTCATGATGTATCATACGACTTTCATGGAAATCGCATGGCTACATGCTCAAGTGACCAAACAGTGAAGGTACAAGAACATGCAGTTTCGTTTTGTCAAAACACGTGATGTTAATCTACAAGTCAGGTGCAAGTAAACGTGTCGTAGGCAACGCAGGCTATTAATATTATAATCTATGTTGCTTAGATTTCCAAATTTTTATTGATATTATAGTAATTTTGAAATGATTAGAGGATCTTTTAAAATGCCCTTTGACCAGGTTAGTCCGAAGTAACTATTGTCACAGGAAAAGAAAAAATGCTCTCCCAATTGAGCTACCTGGTCGCCGACGATCGACCCGGTCCAGTACCGCTACATTCCTCCCTCGTTTTCTATGTCTTTGCCCCCGAAGACAACTATTTACTACCCAGGTTGGGGTATCCCCTCGCCAAGCGTTCACCAAATGCTTGAAACAAGGATTGGTCACAAGGCACAACTGTTAAAGGAGAGGAAAAATGCACAGCCAGACCGTGGTCTGAACTCGGGACCATCCAAACTCTAGACGGACGCTCTACCATTTGAGCTACCTGGTCGCCAACGATCGACCCAGTCCAGTTCCGCTACACTATCTTCCAACTTTTTGATGGGGCGAACATAATCAGAAAGTCCATATCTAAGGGTCTTTTTAAATGTAATTCTGGAATTTGGTTTGGAATGCACTTGCGTTAATGTTTTCACCTTAACAAGAACGCGTGTCCAGATACTTTCCACACATGGATTGAAAGGTTATTTATTTATCTCTGCCATCGCAACAAAATAGTATCAACAACAATCATTTCAATTTACTCAACAGATTTTAAAAACAGGTGTAATTTTTTCTACATTTTTCATTTTTCATCAGTCCAAGAAATTGGAAAATCTTGCGAGATGGGAGGCTTTCCCCAAAATATGTGTCCATAAAGTATAAATAACTTGTCACTACAATATTTTTCAAACTGTTCAAATTGCCCTTTGTCTGTGGTCTGTTCAACTTAAAACAGCTCTTGGTAGGGTTGTGTTTCAGAAAGTAATGGAAAGATCTTTTAAATTTCATATGTAGGTTCCCCATTGTCTATTATACCACAGTTAGGCATATTGAATTTTAGGATTGATTGGAAAACTAATATCACTGTCAAGTTTATTTACCATGGTTCCTTATTACACATTTAGTAAATAGGTCAAATGACAACCTCACGAATCCAAAATATAAGAGTTAAGAAAAGATCAATCTTACAAAGAACCAATGATGATGGTAGGTGCCAAGATCCCTCTGGGATCTATTGTTTGTTTGTTGATCAAGACATAACTGCAGAAGATATTGAAAGAGTAGGTGCTGCTTGGAATATTGCTCGTGAAAAATATCTGTGGTTAATATCAGTATGAGTGTAAGGGATATAGAAAGTATCTTTCCTTCACATTGGGAAATGAACTAGAAATGTCAGTATGTACCTCAAGCTCATATGTTAACTGTATACAAGTTGTGCTGCCTGAAGTAGTTTTCTAGGGTAGTATATCAGTTAATCTCAAACTGAGCAGAGGTGAGGTGGAATAATTCCCGTCACACCATAACGTTCTGGTCAGCGTTCTATGAACATTCTAAGAATGTTTAATCGTTCAATTTCCGAGCGTTCTAGGGTGAGGTGGACACATCTGGCGTGTGACTATTACATGAGGAGCATGTACCAGCGACCAAGTAAGGCACCCCTGAAAACTATAAGGGTGTGCTGACGTGTCACTGACGCGCGACGAACGAGTAGTCAACGTTAGACGAGCGTGTGACTAACGTGTGACACGCTGCGTCATTGACAGGTCGCCAGTGAGTCGTTCACTGCAAGGCAAAGATTGTGAACGATTAATAACAACCAAATACTGCTAGGGTAAGGTCCGACTAACAATAGCTGAACGGGTGCAACGTTCAGCGAACGTGAATTTTCTCAAGTGTTTAAAGTTAAACGTTGAAGAATGGGTGGTCTCCATGAGAACTTTTGTGCATGTTCAAAACTTTAATTTCGGACCAGTGTTCTCCGACAATCACCAGCGTTCACACAACGCTCTTCTGGCGCTATACCAGCGACCACAGGCGATTACCAATGTTTCCTCAAACGTCATAAATCGCTGACCAGAACGTTATGTTGTGAAGGCCCCATTATACAATTAAGCACTTGTATTAAGTTTAATAATTGCTTATTTCAGGTTTGGGATCTTGGTGAAGATGGTCAGTGGAATTGCACAGCAAGTTGGAGAGTAAGCTCTTATTATTGATGATTACTCTAAACGTATAAGGAATTGATTAAGATTCTGAATGTATACACATTTGAGAAAACTTTTGACATGATCCTGTGTCCTGAATTGTGTTCATTAAAAGTAACCAAACAAAGTCTATATTAAAAGCCCAAGTTGCTATGCCAACAAAGTGATGAGCAGTATACGTAATCATAATCCAAGTCTACATTCTCAGAGCCAGTCCCCATACTTACAAACTAATAAGAAGTATATCACATGGATGAATCTATGGAGACTAAAGATGACATCTTTGTTGTACAGACTCACAGTGGATCTGTGTGGCGGGTGACCTGGGCCCACCCTGAGTTTGGACAGGTCATTGCCACCTGCTCGTTTGACCGGACAGCTGCAGTTTGGGAAGAGATCATTGGGGAGTATGGCAAGGGTAACCAGAGCAACTGGGTGAAAAGGTCAAGTTTGGTTGACAGTCGAACTTCTGTCACCGACGTCAAATTTGCTCCAAAACATTTAGGACTACAACTGGTAAGGAACATACATTTTTTAGTGTTTTACTGAAGACATTCTAAGTTTAGGAATTTGTTATATTATTGGCCTTTTAGAATCAAAATGGAATATTTTATAACTTTAAACAAAGTGAGTGAAATGTTGCCCAGTGATAGCCTTAGGCTTTTTAAAACTTCAGTCCCAAACTTGTATTTATAATGATTTCATAAAGCCACAGAAGATATATCTATCAATATTCTTTTTGAGTTCCGTTTATAAATCGTTATCTGTGATTTGCAGTTTGAAAATAACTAGAGTATGATTGAGATGTTTGTTTTTCTAGGCTACATGTTCTGCTGATGGAACAGTCAGAATATACGAGGCTCCAGATGTAATGAACTTGAGCCAGTGGTCGCTCCAGAATGACATACAGACCAAACTTAGCTGTAGCTGTCTCTCATGGAACATGTCTAGGTATGTACTGACATCCTATAGACATTAGTGTTGTTCCGATAATTGATTATAATCCAAAATCAATCTACTGTACAACCAATTCAAATTACTCATTGATAAATTGTATAATTGATTAATCAGTTTAAATGTTGCATGCTGTTTTTTGTTGATATCTGTCAGACATACTGACCAAACCCATCCACCTATATATACACATTCAATATCTAACTGTAGTCACTCAGTTCCTATATGTAAAATAGGACCAAGGTTAGATAATTGTACATTTCAGACAAGAAATGGCAACTCTGATGAAGACATGTTTCGTGATAACATCGGTAAAACATTCTAGCGAATGTATATGAGTCATTATCAGAAATTGTCAATATTGCTGTCCCCTTACTTTTAACATTTTTTTTCAGTGTTCAGAATGCACAGATAGTACATTGTTTTGATTTTTTTAATAAATATAGACAAAAAACTATATTTTAGCATTAATTAAAAATGCATTTTGTAAAAAAATAAATATTTATGAACATTTATAAATATGTTACATGCAAAAATAGGGGTGTCCCTGGCAAGAATTCCAATTTTTCAATGAGAATAAATACAATTAAAAGGCATTACCGAATGGTTATTTCCATATTTTCTGTTAGTTTTATGCTTAAATTTTGATTATGAAATGTCAGTTTACTTAAATAATCTGGAAAATGATAATATAAAACATAATATATGTCTGTCTCCAGTTAAAATGTCCATTATGTTACCACAACACATTTGGTTCAGTTAATGCAACATTAACAGGTATTTTTTA